GTGTGTGTGTGTGTGTGTGTGTGTGTGTGTGTGTGTTGGTTGGTAAAATACTCATGAGTCAATAGGTTGATTCTGACCAACATTTTTTAAAACCAATAGAAAAATGGCAAGAATTCACATTTTGCACTGTTGGATCTTTGAAATTCAAATAGAAAAATGGGAGTGAGACAAAAAAGTCAAAAGTTGAAGACCACAGCATTTAAAAGCCCAAATCCTTGCAATAATGTGCATTCAGTGTCATGACCTCCTGTTAGCAAAGGCAAAAAGCTCTCTTAATTTAACTGTGGCCAGTGCGTTGAGCTGCAGAAGCAAGGCCTCTCTCAACGTGCCATCGCTGCTGAAGTTGGACGCAGTAAGACAGTCATTTTGCATTTTTTAAATGATCCTGAGGGTTATGGAACAAAAAAGTCAAGTGGTAGACCCAAAAATATTTCACCGGCTCTGAGCTGGAGGATTCAATTGGCTGTCCATCAAGACATAAGACGATACTTGGCCCAAATTAAGCTCATCACTGGTGCACACTGCAGACCCATAAACACCAGACGACATCTGCAAGAGAGGTTTTAAGAACAGAAAACATCTTCAAAGGTCTTTTCTCTTTCAGCAAGACAAAAATTGCTCATTTGAAGTTTGCTTGACAGCACCAAACATGGGACATTGAAAGGTGGAAGAAAGTTTTATTCTCTGATGAGAAAAAATTCTACCCGAGGGTCTTGATGGTTTCCAACGTCACCATCAAGACAAGGAGATCCCACCTGAGGTGTTTTCTACATGGCACAGTGGAGGGGGCCATCAAGATCTGGGGATCTTTTTCCTTCAATGGAACAATGGAGCTTCATGTTGTGCAGAGGCGTCAAATGGCAGCTGGCTGTGTGGAGATGTTGCAGGGGGTCTCCCTCATGACTGAAGACCTTCGTCTGTGTGGTATGACTGGTTTTTCAACAGGACAATGCTGCAGTTCACAATGCTGCCTGACAACGGACTTCTTCCAGAGAAATAACATCACTCTGTTGGACCATCCTGCATGTTCCTCTAAATGTTCATCTAAATCCAACTGAAAATATTTGGGGTTGAATGGCGAGGGAAGTTTACAAAAGGGGACACCTGTTCCAGGCAGTGGACGTTTTCCATGAAGCCATCTTCATCACTTGGAGCAGCCTTCTGGAAACACTAGCATCATGCTGGAACAAAGTTTTTGAGATGATTAATTAGGATGGCTCGGCTACTCATTACTGAGTCCTTTTTTCAAGTTTCATTTCTGTTTTAGGGTTTGTTTTTTTAATCAGCTGATGAACAGCCTATTTCAGTTTAAAACTTGTTTGCAATAAAATGCTGACTCAGATGATTTTTATAGTAAAAAAGGAACAAAATGAGATGAAATAGCCACTCGCAGCATTCCACATCTGTACACAAAGATCAAGTAGTGACGACAATGAAAACAAAAAAAAAAAACAGGAGAGGTTGACAGAGTTATCTGCTGCACAGTACTCTGAAAGCAGGAATGTTTACCCTTAATAAAATATATAATCTTCTTTATTGGCACTAAGTTTGAAAATCCTTCCAACAAACTCAACCATTACAGAAATTCATGGATTTACATCTGATAAATTAATTTTATCCTAATGCACCATAGCCTACTGATCTGAGAAAACACAGAAAAGCTATAACACGGTCAGCATATCCGTTTAATCAGTGCACCAGAACATAAGTGTTTGTTGATCTGAAAGCCATCTTTTGAAACCTGCTGGACCTGTGACTCACACAGAATGAACTCTGCTGCAGTCGGGCCATACATGAGCCCACTGGAGAGTTTCTGAGTATGGATCAGGGGCGCCACTTAGGAAGGCTTTGATTCCATCTGGATTTTATTTCAGAGCTAATTTGGTTTCCCAGAGAGGACATCCCTGGACAACATCCCCCCACCCCCCGCACAAAGAGAAACAGAGGCCGTGAGAATGATGTGATTTCAAGTCAGGGAACTCTTCTCCGTTATTAGTTGCAATCACTCTGTCCCCTCTAGCAATATGACAAAAGCCTTTAAATGCTCAGAATCAGCGCATCATCGTCTGCTGGCTTCTTTATACCCAACTGCACACTTCAGTCACATATAGTGAACCCCCCACCCCGACCTGGCAGCATTAAAAGTACAAACCTGTTCACCCAACTGAAGTTTAAATAAACCTGCTGACCTGACCACAGACTGATGCTGCGTCAGCACCTGTGGGTTTAAGAAAAAGAAGGAAGTTGTTGTTTTCATTCATCTGGGCGGGAATTATCTCACACTTTTAAACTAGAAAATTAGACTATTGTCTAAAAATCCAGTGAGCGTGCTGAATAACTTTGCTGACGAAGCTAACTTGTGTTTAAACCGTTGGAACAAAAGCTAAAAAAACATGAAGCTCAAAACAGCAGCTAATTGTTAAAAATGAAACAAGTTGGAATAGATTTATAGATTTTAAAGAGTTTTAAATGATTTAAATAAATCTCAATACATTCTCAGAGAAAGAATGTAAATGATGTTTGTTGATTTTAAAAAAGTATAAAGCTTACAGACAGCAAAAATCACGTTCCGTCAGGATTTGTCTCTTTCCGTTAGTTATTAAGCTCCATCAGTTTGTTACCTCTGCCAACGGCGAGGTAATGTTTTCGGTTGCGTATGTCTGTCTGTCTGTCGTTCTGTCTGTGGACAACATTATTGAAAAAATTTTTTACCACGTGGGTACTGGGCCAAGGAACACACCTTTAAATTTTGGGGATGTTCCAGATCACGATGCGGATACAGGAATTTTTCTTCTTTTAACACTCTGAGATCGGCAAAGCTGTGATGCTTTCACAGGACTTCTGTAAAAAACAGTGAGCTAGATTGGACAGCACGGACTTCAAACTTTATAAAAGTAATGTTAAAACCACATTTAATGATGAATAATTTTTGCCATAATATGCGCATTTACAGAACGTTTTGTGACCAGGAAGTGCGTGACTGCACCATGAAACCTATTTTCCCATTTCCTCAAACACACCACATTTCCCAAACAACCAATCAAAACAGTTTCTCGCTACTACGCTTGTAAACAGAGAGCTGCCAGGCCTCAAAGTTTGGAGACGTGGGGAGCCAGGAAGCACTTTATAAAGAGAGTCAAACCATTACAAACTCATACAAGGGGATAAAACAGACGTTTGTGACTGATGAAAACTTAGGAGCTTAATCCGACACCAGTTTGATGATGACTAACGTTGGGCGACGAGTTTGACTTTTTTTTTCACATTGGACTCCACCGAGAAGAAATCCCGGGCATACTGCTTGCTTAAATGTTCGCTGCATCGGAACTTAGTCGGCAAATATGTTTCCATCTCTGCTTTTGCGTATTAATAACTCTTACAGGATGGGGGAAATTGGTCTTGGCGGAGGTTTGCACTCTCCGAGTGCTTCTAGTTTCCTAGATGTTCCTTCTCACCTGTTATGTTTTCTGTGATCCCTGTTATCAGTCTTGTTTCTCCTCAGCTGGTTCCAGCCCCACCCACTCCCTTCTGTTCCTCATTGTCTCCTCACAGGTGTTGTCTTTTCTCCCTGATTAGTTTCCCTTCATGTTCTCCCACAATGTCCTGTTTGATCCCCTTTGTTTTTGTGTTAAGAGATTTTTCTCTTGTGTCATCTTTTGAGTGTTTGTACCTTTGCGGCCCTTGAAGCTTGTTTATTAAAAATCTTTGTTTTTACATTTGAATCCCTGAGTTCTACGCTTAGGGTTCAGCTACCATCACTAAATATGGTAGTGCTCTAATGTTTCAAACAAGCTTGAGTGTTTTGATACCTGAATGGATGAACTACTAGAGAGTATGATGAAGTAGTTAGTAAAAAAAAATTTGTTTCCATAAAACAACATTTGTTTCCGTGTAAATAAAGCCGACAGTAGTTTGTGTAATCAAGATTTATAAAATGCCTTTGCATGAACAGCAGTGGCCTATTTTAATCATGCCTCTGCCCAGACGAGCTTCAGCTCATAAATCCTTTCAGAACTGAACTCTTTCTTCTAATTGAGGTTGTTCAAAGAGCTATCTGCAACAGGTAAGATGTTTATTGTTCATAACCTGTGCACAATTCAACGAATAAGTTCAGAAAGTGAAATAAATCAGGAAACGCTGTTACACAAAAACTTTCTGCCTGCTAGAGGGGATTTTTAAGAAGTTTTTATTTTTTATAAATTTTTTGTGGGGCGGTGGTGGCATAATAACTAAGGAAGGAAAACTACCGGTAAGCAAAAATAATTATTTTGGTTTAAAGTTATACTTATGTGTGACTCCAGCTGTTTTTGTTATCAGTGTTTTTACTGCTGCCATGCGTCATTTTGTCGATTGTTCACTTTTATCTTCTGACAACACTTCATTGACTAGTTTTTCTGCTCACTCAGTACATACTGTATTTTCTTAACTCCTATGAAACTGTGGCTCTCGTCTGTGCTCAGTGTTTAAGCAGTACAGATAACCTAAATCAATTTGTAGGGATGGACTGATGCCGTGGAACTGTGAATTGTACCAAAAATAAATAAATCAGCAATGCACACATTCTTTATACCTTGAGTCCTGCAGGGTCAGCGTGATGTTTAATAAAGAGCGGCGAGCAGGAATGCGCCTTGTTTCCTGCTAGTGAGACAGCTGTGTTGTGCTTTCAGTGTGCGAGCTGCGGTCCCCCTCCATGTCCGACTTCCTGGAGGGTTTGGAGAGCTCAGGCTGGCTGAGGCACATCAAAGCTATTGTGGATGCAGGCGTCTTCATCGCCAAGGTCAGTCTGGACTCTAATCCCTTCTGTCTGTGTCACCGGTCCACTCAGTGTTCGCTCACATTTGTGTGTTTGTGCATTATGTATATGTGAGTACGGTCTGCTGTCAGGCTTGACGTCGGTCGCCTAAAGCAACAAATAAGTTGGACACAATGTTCAAACACAAAACAGCTTGCATCATGAGAACATGAAAAATAAAAGGATTAAAAGCTGGATTGACATTCTTTATAAGTGAGTATTAATATGGGGCGTATTATGTTGTGTTGCCTGTCTGAGCTCTAAATTAGTAATCTTTTAACATAGAAATATCAAACTGCTCAGCTGGACTCCTCATGGTTCAGGGGTGAGCTGTATTGATTTGATGGCCAAAAGTCAAACTCACAGGTCTTTTTAACAGGCGCACTAAGGTTTGACCACGTTTCTGCTCTTTTTGCCACCCTGCACTGAAGCCTGTGTAGTTTAGGAATCATTTCTAAATGGTTTTATTTGCTTTTAAAGCATTTAATGGCCTTGCCCCGCCCTTTCTGTCTGAGCTGCTCCGTCCCTACTCTCGATCCCTCAGCTCAGCTGGTCAGCAGCTCCTGAGTGTGCCCGAGATGAAGCGTAAACTCAGAGAGGATGGTGCTTTTTCTGTGGCAGCTCCTTATTGAATCAGACAGTCTGATGTTTGAACATCAGGCAGGCCACAGTCTGATTTTAAATCCATTCTTTAAACTTATCTCTTTTTCCCCTGGCCTTTGAACACCATTTATAATGTTGACTTTTAAATTGTAATAAGTTTATTCAACTAAAAAAAATAAATACATAAAAACTGGCTTCTATCCTTTTCATACTGAACAGAAAAATAAGCCATAGCTCTAAGATGTGACTCCCTATTTCTGACAGAATTAGAAAATGTGTTTTGATATGTCTTAAAAAAACTTGATCAATTTAAAAAATTTAGAGATATTAACTAAAAGTCTCATTTTGCATGTTTTTCCATTCTGTCTGAATCGCAGGTACGTTTCAATTTTTGGAATAGTTTTACACCACCATTTAATCTTAGTTTAGTGGAATTTTGCACAAATGGTTTTGTAAATGGACTGTACATTACCCGTTTATATCCAACTAGGATACTCAAAGAGCTTTACACTACAATCTATGTCCTCATTCACCCATTCACACACTAGAGCTGCAACAAACGATTATTTTAATAATCGATTAATCTGCCAATCATTAAAACACTTAATTACATTTAATATAAGTAGATATAAATTAATTTAATTCCTGTACAAATTAGGGATACCAGTTGTCGATTAAAGTTAAGTTTTCTGAAGTTGATTTATTTTATAGATTGACTTAACGATTAATTGATAAGCAACCATTTTCTTAAAAACCAGAGTTTTCTTTTGAATCAAAAGGGTCTTTTTATAAAATAAAGGATTATTTTTTTTAGTATTCTAAATAAAAAAAAGAAGCACATCACAAATATTTTCGCAATTGATTTTGCCAGCCGTATTAAATACTGGAAAAAATGTGGATTTCTCATACATTAATAAACTTGGTTATAGCTATAAAACACAACAAAATAAAAATTTATTAGGTTGCTGAATGAGGAAAGAATAAAATATGATTTTTAGATGTAAAACTATTATTAATTTGTTATTATAATTGGAATTAATTTGCATTTAGAATGTATGATTTTTCTCTAATTCTTAACGTTTTGCTTCCTTCTTGTTAATCCTGTCTGTGGCTAGCTCACTTCTTTTTTTATTTAATTTTTTTTTCGTTCTGAACCTTTTTGCTGCTTAACAAATAAATTTGAGCCTCGGTCAGAAAAAAAGACTGAAGTGTTTTATATTTCTGGCTCGAGGAGGAAACAAATGGTGGACTGAGGTTTTTTTTTGTTTTGTTTTGTTTTTGTTTTTTCCCACAGGACGTGCTTCCTCGTGGCTCGCATCAAATCAGACCATCTTTTAAAAAATTAAATGTGGCATATACTTTTTATCATAACTTCTGATCTACTTGGCTTAACAACACGATTTAAAAACTGATTTAAAGTTTGAAGACTCTACTTTTCACTCGAGGGTCTCAGAGAGGGCGGATCTTTACAGGTAGTGTTTTTTTTTTCTTCCTAAACTTTATTTAGGTCAGCCAGCATTGACAACACTCTGCAGGTGACGAAAACGGCTCGACACAACAAATCGATAATGAAATCCGTTGCCAACACTTTTAATAATCAATTTTTATTGGCGTGCTGGGGGTTCCCGGGGTCTGAGGCTGGGTGCTGGGGTATGTGCCGGCCTGGCCTGGTGACTGCCTGCTGGGGCTCGGGGCCTCTGGCCATGTCGGGCTTTGGCCTGGAGCGGGTGCACCCTGGGGGCCCGGACCTTTGCACCTTTTCCTGGATCTGCTCTGGTGTGGCGGGTGCCGGTGGGGCCCATGAGTTTGTCGCTGCTGACCCTGGGGGCTGTGCATGTGGTCACTTGGGGGGACTCTCCCAGTTCTCCCCTATGGTCTGATCTGGGGGGTGGGTGGGCGGATCTTCCCGTGCGGGTGCCCCTTGGCGCTCTGCACTCAGGATCCCTCTCGGGCCCTTGGGCTCTGGTCTTCCCTATGTCTGCCTCGTGTCTTGGGGGTTGGGTCTTCGGTCCTCCACAGTCACTATTAAATATTCCGTTGGAGAAATCTTGTAAATACACGCATGTTTACAACCGCTCACAAACAGGTGTTCTGATCCGGGGGGTTCTGACTGGTCACTGAGTGTGTATATACAGTATGTCTGTGTGTATACTGTATATCTACAATATGTATAAATGTATGAATGTAGGCATGTATGTACGAATATCTTTATATATGTATGGGTATGTGTATGTGTATATTTATATAAGCCCTCCATGTATTTATCCATTTATTTTTAGGTGAGCGGACAGATGTTGGGTGTGTGGTCCTGTGTTTTCTTGGTGTATATTTAATATACTGTACATCTAATCTCTATTTCAATCTTTCTAATTACTTCTCTCTTTGTTTTTCCCTCTTTCTCTATTTTCTCCTTACTTAAAAAAATCACTGATGGTGAAGAAATTAAGAAACTAATAAGTTCTTTTTTCTACTGAAGTGATAAAAAAATCAATTTTTATCGATTTTATTGATTCATTTGTAAGAAATATACGTGTTCAATAACGACTGAAGTCAGATGAAAACACAAGTGTTAAATAAATTGATCTGTGACGAAATGAATGCCATACAACACCAGAATTCTGGAGTGAGGGGTTTATTCAGCCATGAGCTGAGCGAGTCAACCACACACACTGAAGACATAACAGGAAGTGAACCGATAAATACAGGGTCTTCAATGCCCGAGTCCGCCTCTGCTGGCCTAAAGCTGAATCACAGGCATTCATACAGACATCCTTCAATCTGATGTTAATCCAGCTTTAATTATGTGTTGTTATTTTCGGACATGTATCTATTCTATGTCAATTAACACATTGTAAAAAATATAACCAACATTATAAAGGTATAAAGTAGAAAACCCTAACTCTGTGTTGTATTTAATCAGTACTAACTATAAATTTCTTCACATTGTTGCACTCCTAACACACACATCCACACAGCTCTCTGTTAGATCTCTCTACTTATCTAATCTACATAAATCAGTCTATAGGGACTAATCAGTGCTTTAAATCAGTCAGACACTGATGGGACACATCAGAAGCAGTGGGGGTTCAATGTCTTGCCCAGGGACACTTTGACACGTGACTGAATAGCAGGGAATCAAACTACCAACTCTTGCATTGGAAGATGACTTTTCTAACCACTCATCCACATTATTTGTTTTAATTTGCATGTTTCTGACAAGAACCAGGCAGAGAGTTTGAAAATTCAGCCAAACACAGGAGCCAGTTTTATAGATCATTCCTTCCTTTCAAGTCAGTGATGTTAGTGGTATTAATCTGTGAAGATGTGTGCACGTGACTAAAAAAAAAACCAAAATACCCCTGATTAATTTAGGTGAGTAATTCATTTAAACATGAATCATTAAAAAGAATCAAACTTCTTAACAATAATACAATATTCTGAGGTTGTCCAATTGCCAGCCATCTATGATCACTAACGAGTTGTGAGTCCGTCTTGGTCTTGTCACATTAAAACACATTCAGAAAACCATCAAAAAACATTTAAATTAATATATGTAGTATAACTACGACCATGCATGGTTTAAAAAAAGAAACATTCAAAACAAAAACAAACTTCTGCACTGTCTTTTTGTTTCTAAAATGGATGAAGCTGCCCTGGTAGAAGAACAGGTTAAATCGGTAAAAGCCCTAAATTACAATGACTTTCATGATGAATCCAGCTAAACTCTGGAGATGTTGTCTGGTGTTTGTAGGCCGTTGCAGAGGAAGGTGTGAGTGTCCTGGTTCATTGTTCGGATGGGTGGGATCGGACTGCCCAGGTGTGTTCTGTGGCCTGTGTGCTGCTGGATCCTTTCTACAGGACCCTCAAAGGACTCATGGTAAATATTTAAGTTACAGAGTTGGATTGTATGTCAGAAGCTGCACTTTAAAGTTAGATGACCTGAACTAAAGTTATTTATTTGTAAGTTATGTTACAGTTTTTTTAACTTGATTAAAATTACAGCCTGTCACACTGAATGGTATCATTTTGTGTTTGAACTGTTTTTATTATTATTTTTTTTGCCCACAGGTGCTCATCGAGAAGGACTGGGTTTCATTTGGACACAAATTCTCTTACAGGTTTGTTCTGAAACGCTACTAACATATGGATCTGTCACTTGGACTCAGTGTTTCTGATCGGTTACTGTCTCCACATGTCCAGATGCAATCACTTGATTGGAGACCCCAAAGAGGCATCCCCCATCGTGGATCAGTTCCTGGAGTGTGTGTGGCAGCTGATGGAGCAGCTCCCCTGTGCCTTCCAATACAACGAGAGGTTCCTCATCGCCATACACAGCCACATCTACTCCTGCCAATACGGCAACTTCATCGGCAACAGCCAGCGGGAGAGGACAGAGCTGAGGTCAGATTTACATCATCAGAGGGTTGACTAGTCTAGCTGTGCAACTGGAGATATAGATTCTAATATCTTATGAACAACTGGACAGATTTTAATGCAAGTCTTGGAAAGTAATCACTGGGTGTACATCTCCAGCTGATTAACCTTTGAAGTCAATTTAAGATGCCTGCTACAGCTGACACAAAAATAGCTACAACTCAGACATTTTTACAGATATTGAGCTACAGGTATATGTGGTAGCCGAGACTCATTTTGCAATATCACAAGGTTGCATGTAACATTATTTTTGATGTTTAACCAAAACAGCTGCTCCTCCTTCATTTTTCAACATAACATAAACTTGGTCTAAAATTTTGTCATGAAAGACCTTTAATACAAAATAATGTATTGTTTTTTTTTTTTGGTTTGCCTTTTGTTTTTTGACCCACTGCCATCTGTGAAGAGTGCAAGAGAGGACCCACTCCTTGTGGAGTTATCTGTGGACAAACCGTGCTGACTTCACCAACCCACTGTACAGACCAGACCACAGCCAGACTCAAGGGCTCCTTAGACCCTCTACTTCCCCCTACTGTTTCAAGTAGGTTCTCACCACAGTTCCTGTCAAAACATTTTATTATTTTTTATTATTATTTATTTAATTTTTATTTAAATTTGGACAATGCATCTTAATCAACATGTCAGCAGTAAGCATCAATGTAAATATGCTGGAGTTAGCACAACAGCTAGATTTCATCCGTTGTCCTAAGGCAGGTAAGAACAAGAAAGCATCACATAAAATAAAGAGCAGAGAATAATATAAACATCACTTATATAACACATACAAACAAAATGAAGTTAAAATAAGGATCACAAAACAGACAGTAATCTACATATGAGTGCACCTCCAGTTAGTTTTCAACCAATGTTTCAAAGCATTTTTAAAGCTGGAGTGGGTGCCACCGTTCCTGATATGAGCTGTGAGTGTTCCGACTGCATGCCTCTGATGGACACCACCATTTGGCCAAATTTAGTCCCGCACCGCTGTACATTACAATCTCCTCTGGTCACTGCCCTTGTGTTTACTGTATTACTTGTTTGTTTGTTTTTTCTGCTTATAAAATACATTAAAATTGGAGGAGCAAGTCCATTTACAACTTTAAAAATAAGGCAAGCATCCATAAAAAACTAATAACTATCAATGTGGTGTAACCAGTTCAAAACATGCAGTGTGTTTAAAAAAAAGTCAGTTCTGTATTTGTTTCTCTGTTCACATAATGCACCATCATGTTTGATGGAGGTTCACAGGTTTTTGTTTTTTGTGTAGGTTTTGGAAAGGGCTGTACAACCGCTTCGACCATGGGATGCATCCTCGTCAATCTGTGGTGGATTACCTGAAGGCCATCCAGGAGGAGACACAGCAGCTGGAGGATCAGCTGGCCTCACACAAGCAGGTACAACAGCTAGTTACTTCAAAAACATATAAAGGTGTCTCACACTGTTATTGCTTCATCACATCAAAGGAGAGACAGACTGCTAATATAAGAATGCTTCGTAAAGCTAGAACTGTATATTATTCATCTTTAATAGAAGAGAATAAAAACAATCCCAGGTTTCTGTTCAGTACTGTAGCTAGACTAATGAAAAGTCCTATCTCTGTTGAACCATATCCCTATAACTAAGTAGTGATGACTTCATGAGATTCTTTCTAGATAAAATAATTTTAATAAGGGATGAAATTCATGCCAAACTTCCTGCTACTGTCTCTGATTCTCTGTCAGATGAGGCAGCTTTAGTGTCACTAGGACCTGATTTATGTCTGGACAGTTTTTGTCCTGTTGAGCTTTCTGAATTATAATAGCTTCATCCAAACCATCAACATGTCTGCTAGATGCCATCCCAATCATACTGTTCAAAGAAGCATTTCCCTTAATTAATATCCATATTTTAGATGTACTTAATTTATCTTTAATGAATGGTTATGTGCCACAGAGCTTTATAAATCACATCATAGTATCATGTCCCTGTATGCCTGGCATCATAAGTCGGGAATGATTCTCGGCTACCACAACTTCAAATTTGATTTCAGCATCTGTAAAACTGACTGCCATCGTTAACGGCCTTGACTGTAAATCTAAATATATGTTCAGTGATTTACTTTGAGTAATCCATCCACTCATTCATGAGACATTTTCCCATCAGACAAATAAGCACAAAAAAGATGTGGACAGATTAATTAGTGCAGAGCTGTTTTCTGGTTGTAAATAAAGTTTGTATTTGTATCATTAACAGAAAATCTCTCAGCTGGAGCAGGAGCAGAAGTGGGGTGTTACCTGGGCACCAGCGGCCTTCGATAGGAGCCCTACAATTTGGGCTCTGAGTACCGACCTGGCTCTGGTCAACACTCCCCAGGACTACACTGGGGGCTTCATCACCAGCAGCCCCCACACACCCAAAGCTCCAGACCACAACCTGATCTCCCCGCCACAGGATTCGAACAAAACAGGCGACTCCATCTTCTCCAACGGCAGCGACCAGGAGTCCGGAATTGCTGACCTGAGCTGTCGCTCGCCTCTCAGTGAGGACAGTACCAAGGATCCAGACTCCGATGAGGCAGTGTACTCTACTGCCTGAGCTTACAGATGCCCACTTTACTGAGCTGAAGCCCCCTCACGCTCTCACAATGCTCAGATTAATCAATTAATAAGAATATCTCTCTGGTCACAGTTTGACTTAAACTTCAGTAAGATGTCATTTGGTGAAAATATTTGTTGCTTGGTGGTTTCAGATTTCCACAAACTTGTAGCAGAACAAAAGTTTTCACACTTGAGAATTCAGCTTTTAAAGAAAAACTAAACATTTTTAAAAATGTTTATCTAATTTTCCTCCCTAATCTGAAATGTAAAAGCAACTTATAGCCACCTTTAATAAGCCATATGTGTGCCTGCAGATGGTCTTCTATTGAACTGTTTTGAATGTTCAAGTGTTTAGCTCTTTCTAAAAGATTATTGTAGTTATTTATAATACCTGTTATAGAAAACTCTTTGAACAACTTCAATTTAGATAAAGTTTCTCACAGCTAGTCTGAGCAGGTCCAAGACCTACAGTGGATTATGTCAAACTACAACTACAGCTCCATTCTCAAAATAATGTATGACTGAAAGCATTTCAGCCAGGATCAGTGCTTTCACCTGTTAGAACAAGTTAGAAAAAGCAGCTGTTTACATGAACTACTATAGAATCCTGAGATTAAAGTTGTTTTCAGACGGCAGGTCTTGACCAGCTGTTTTTCTTCAAACTGAAGTTGTTCAGAGTTATCTGCAACATGTAAAATATTGATCGTTCATAACATTCCCACTGAACACCATCCTTAAAGGGATCCATGATTAGTTGTAACATTAGACTTTATTTGATAAACATTTATTTTAACTGTAAAATAAAGACTGCAAAAATATTGTAGGCTGTTTAGTTTTGTATATTTTTTTAAATATATTTTATCATGGACGGAGCCTTTTTATTTACACACAAAGCATTCTGGGTAAATGATGACGTGGATAGGTCATTGGTGTGAGCGAGCTATATCCACCTTGAAGTTTAATCTTGGACAATATCTGATGATCGACTCTTTTAAATGAAACCAGAGAGCGTTGACAGAGAGGAGAAGGTAGAAATGACTCAGCCTGGAACTGAAAATATGGATGGAGGACAACAGAGCTGCTTCATGGAAGAAGGACCTCAGCTTAGCCTGTTAGCCTTTGCGCTAGCACCAACGCTATATTGCCTTATATGTATTAGCTTGGCACTAGCGAGACAAACAAGCTAAACTSAGGTCCTCCATCCATATTTTCAGTTGCAGCCTGAGTCATTTTTGTGTTCCCCTCTCTGTCATGTGGATGGAGGACCTCATTGACGAGAGGAGAATGTGTAGCACTGAGCTAATGCATATATATGATGATAGCGTCGGGGCTAACGCTAAAGCTAACAGGATAAGCTGAGGTCCTTCCATTAAGCAGCTCTGTTGTCCTCCATCTATATTTTCTGTTCCAGGCTGAGTCATTTCTACCTTCTCCTCTCTGTCAACGCTCTCTGGTTTCATTTAAAAGAGTCGATCATCAGATATTGTCCAAGATTAACCTTCAGGGTGGATATAGCTCGCTAGCAGCCTCACACCGAGGACCTATCCACATCATCATTTACCCAGAATGCTTTGTGTGTAAATAAAATGGCCCGTCCGTGTAATATATTTTTAAACTTTTAGTTTAAAAAATTATAAAAACTAAATGGTCTACAGTATTTTTACAGTCTTTATTTTACAGTTAAAATGTTTATCAAATAAAGTCTAATGTTACAACTAATCATGGATCCCTTTAAAAATATTCCCAATCATCCCTTTTAAATCTTATGCTTTGTTGTACAAACTTTTTAGCTGTTCGTCATCTATGTATATACAGGAATGAATCACACTTGTTGCTCACCTAAAGCATGTTTTATCCAGGTAGGCTCTGGGGAAAATTTGACCTTGAGTTTGGGATTAAAGGGATTATAGAACAAAACAAACACATGAAACTAATAACATACTCCAACTGAGCATTTGAAAGATTTTAGCTGCTGAAAGTGCTTCAACTCCCAGTAGACACCAATATAATATAATAAGGTTTGATTTGAAAAAATAGAAAAAAATGTATGAATCAAGCTGAAATGACCAAAAAAAACTGTTTACATGTGTTTGTAGCACCAGATGAGCTGTAATTCATGCAACAGATCTTACTGTTTTTAATAATGCATCGGTCTTATATGGCACCTTTTTAGGACCCTCAAAGCTGCTTTACGTTATTCATTCACACACTGATGATGGTAAACTACAATGTAGCCACAGCCATCACAACTGTCTACTTGGGCCATCTCAAGAGTGGAACATTTATCAGAGCTGCTTATTTTCTGTTGCGGATCAAACATTAATGTGAAAGCACTCCTGCAAATGAACAACAGACATGATCAAGCAAAGCATGCTCAAATATTTTTGTGGTTTTTTTTTTTTTACTATTATCTACATTTTTGTTCTGTGTAATTTCTGTTTAAATGATTGTTTTTATTTTTATGGCAAAGAGTTTAATGCATCAGAATCATTGATTGTTGTCTCTAAAAGAATCTTCACGGCATAAACTGTTTGCTTCTTTGGTTTACATGGAAAAGTAAGGGGCATTTCTTTGTGAGCTCATTGTGATGTACTGCAAGTTGTGCCAGTATTCTTGTGAAATAAATATCTTAAAGTCTGTCATTGTTGTAATAATTAAGTCAATGCATGAATCGAATGATTCAGTTAAGTTCAAATACAAAACAACACTCTGTTGTCTGTAAATATTTGAGCATGTAAAAATTTATATATTGACTGCAGAAAGTAAAAAGTAAAATAAGCCTTTTATCAGGCACTGCTGCACTTTATTTTGTTTCTACACAGTCTACAGTCAAAACTGATAATTACAATCCAATACAAGATAGAACTCAATGCCAACCGTCGCTGTATGTGTGATTTACAGCCAACCATATGTCAACAACGCAATGTGTAATTAGACCACGTCCCCCCAAATTTGGACTGCATTCCTGTAGTGGGGTGAATCAGGATTGACCATAGTGAATTGGGTGCCGATTGGCTGAAATATGTGGAATTCAGAGCCAAATGTATGTCAATGGCATGACGTCTGACTTTGCCGCACCATTAATACCACGCCTTCCACTAAAAAGTCTTTGTGCTTGAAAACAACTGAGATCAACTTGTTATCTGTTCTGACAATTTATTACTGGTTAGGTCAAGAGGGTCATAGATGGAGCTTTCAAAGCCAAAAAATGTCACTTCCTGTTTTCAGGGGGTGTGGCTTTAATGGTATCATAACCACATGGTCGGGCACGCAACAGGGAAGACTCATCCTAAGTTTGGTGTCTTTTGGCCTTTCTTGTGAAAGTTTCTCCTTTCTGAAATTTTAACGGCCAGACGGAGAGCATTTCCTAGTCCTCTACCCCGGCAACAGGGGACAAAAATGCCATTTTTACCAATGCTGACAAAACAATATTCAAGGGTGCCAGTGCTCAAGGATTCAAACTTTTTCCTATTCACCAGTTTTTCTTTGTTTGTCACAAATTTTTTTATTTTTCCAAGTTACAGGGGTAAAAACCCCTGTAAATTGGAAAAATAAAAAAGAGAGAAGAGATAAAACTTTTTCAGTAAAGAAGAACCTGTCCAGAGGACCTACTTAATTTATTTTTAATTTTATTTTTTACCTGGATTATTGATGCATCAGAATGATATTTTATGAAGTTTTTAGATAGTGACAGTTTCATATTTTTTACAAAGATTTTAACACAGGATATTAGAATGTGAAGATGCTACAATGACTTTGAGCTATTCAAACATTTCAAAGGTTTTCCGAACAAACTTTTTTTATTTCTACAATCTTTCTATTTCTCATGAATACCAAATATCAAAGCATGGGTTTTTAATCATTTTTCATCCTGTTTCACTAGTTTAAGTCTCGTGGGATACTCTCAAATTACCAGACATTAGCGTGTGACTACCAGACACTTCTGCCAGTTAAAATTTCAAATTTTCAGAACAACTTACGGTTGTAGTTGTCGAGTATGATCAGTACATCAGGAGGAAAGCTTCTAATGATGAATTGATGAGTGACTGTCTCAGGCAGCAGCAGAACTCCAATGATGAAGAGGAGGAACAAGAATAACCATCATGAGAAGATAAACCTTTGCACAGCGTCGAAGAGGATTGGACTTGAAGGACAGCACAGAGGCACTAATCAAGAGCAACAGTGACTGAGGTCTACAGCAGTGATTCCCAACCAGAAGAGCATATTACAGGGGGTATGTGGAAAAATTTACCAGGTGTGTAAAAAAAATTAAAATAGGACTGAGATTTGTGGATCCCTATGATTTCTGCAATGCGTAAAATACAGCCAGAATCACAGAATAACACAAAATGGAATCTAGTGTAAAATGTGGAATCTCATGGAGTTTCTGATGTATTTTGGATGTTACTGTTTTCTTAACCTGCTTAATCTGGTTTATTTATTTAATTACTTACTCACTTTCAAGGCAATCTTTTTAAATTTATTTTGAATTTGAGTTGGAAAAAATAAAATGCATGAGAATTAAACATTCTAACGAGTTAAATAAACAATTTTCATTTAATAATCAGTTGTAGTACATTAAAGTTTTGGAGAATCATTACACTGAAGGGGTACTAGTGGGATGACAAATTGACTCAGGGCGTACACAAGTCTAAATAGGTTGGGAACCACTGGTCTAAACTCCTGAAACATTCCAGCACTTTCAGGACCTTGGACAGTTCATTCAACCCTGCACACTGTCTAAAGTCCTGAAACATTCCAGCACTTGCCGGACCTTGGACAGCTCCTTCAGCCCTTCACACTGTCTAAAGCAGTGATTCCAAACCAGGGATACGTGAGCATACSTATTACAGGGGGTTCGTGGAAAAATTTCCCAAGTGTGTAAAAACATAAAATAAAAATAGGACTGAAATATGTAGGGCTCTATGATTTCCACAATATGGACATCACAGATGAAATAACGGAATTGACACAAAATGGAATCCTGTTTAAAACGTGGAATCTCATGGAATTTGCTCATTTGGGTGAGTTTCTGATGTATTTTGGACAATACAATAAAATGCAGTCAATACAATTTCCTTGTTTATTTATTTAATTATTCACTTTCAAGGCAACATTTTATCTTTAATTTGAGTTGAAAAAATAAAATGTCTGAGAAACGTTCTAGGGGGTTAAATAAATATTTTTCATTTAATAATCAGTTGTAGTACATTAAAGTTTTGGAGAATCATTACACTGAAGGGGTACTAGTGGGATGACAAATTGACTCAGGGGGTACACAAGTCTAAATAGGTTGGGAACTACTGGTCTAAAGTCCTGAAACATTCAAGCACTTTCAGGACCTTGGACAGTTCATTCAACCCTGCACACTGTCTAAAGTCCTGAAACATTCCAGCACTTTCAGGACCTTGGACAGTTCCTTCAGCCCTACACTGTCATTGAAACATTCCAGCTCTTTCAGGATCTTGGACATTTCCTTCAGCTACACTGTCTTTGAAACATCCCAGCACTTTCAGGAACTTGGACAGCTTCTTCAGCCCTTCACACTGTCTAAAGCAGTGGTTCCAAACCAGGGATACGTGAGCATACCTATTACAGGGGGTTCGTGGAAAAATTTCCCAAGTGTGTAAAAACATAAAATGAAAATAGAACTGAAATATGTAGGGCTCTATGATTTCCGCAATACAGACATCGCAGATGAAATAAAGGAATTGACACAAAATGGACTCCTGTTTAAAACGTGGAATCTCATGGAATTTGCTCATTTGGGTGAGTTTCTGATGTATTTTGGACAATACAATAAAATGCAGTCAATACAATTTTGGAAGCTGCTGTTTTCTGCACCTGCCATTATCTTTATTTATTTATTTACTTATTCACTTTCAAGGCAACATTTTTATCTTTATGTTTAATTTGAGTTTAAAAAAATTAAATGCCTGAGAATTAAACATTCTAGGGGGTTAAATAAATATTTTTATTTAATAATCAGTTGTAATACATTATAGTTATGGAGAATCATCATTATGTTTGGTGGCATGACAAAATGGCTCAGGGCGTAAAAAACGGTTTGGAACCACTAGTCTACAGTACCAGACAACACTACTAAAAAGAAGTAGACCTTAAGTATATGTTATTAAGTAAGTATATTTCTTAAGTATATTTCCACGAATGTACTTTTACTTACAAAGGACACTAACAAGTACTGTATATGTCTTGGGACTAAACTGACCCACTTTATGTTTATGAAAGTACACTTTTAAGCATACTTATTTGTCTTTCTACTTTAAATCTACTTTTAGTTTACCAAAGTAGACGTTTTTGTATACTGAAACTAATCTATGCATACTATTAATTTACTAGCAGTAAATTTCTGGTGTCCTTTTTTTAGTTTATGAAAATACACTTTAAATGTACTAAAAGTTTTGTATTAGTTTAACAATACATTTCTAATCCACTGTCTATTTGTTGGTTGTCTTTTGGTGACTCCTTTCTTCAGGGTCCAGAGTGGGGCAAATGAGGGTGGAGAAATATGGGTGCATCACCTCTCTTACACAAATGTTTAGTCAGAGTGTTTGAACCAGCAACATTCCGAACACAGGCTTGTCTTCTCTAACTTCAGTACCATCACTCCTCCTGTTCACTGTCCGTCTGTTTTCTTCTGCTTATCTGGGGTCGCGTCGCGGGGGCAGCAGCCTAAGAAGAGAGACCCAGACTTCCCTCTCCCCAGCCACGTGGGCCAGCTCCTCTGGGGGAATCCCAAGGCGCTCCCAGGCCAGCCGAGAGATATAGTCCCTCCAGCGTGTCCTGGGTCTTCCTCTGGGTCTCCTCCCAGTGGGACGTGCCCGAAACACCTCACCAGGTAGAGGCGTCCTGACCAGATACCTGAGCCACCTCAACTGGCTCCTCTCGACGTGGAGGAGCAGCTGCTCTACTCGGAGCCCCTCCCGGATGACTGAGCTTCTCCCCTTCTCCCCATCTCCATGGTTTTCTCGCGAGAAAAAAATATAAGTGGAAAATGGCTGCTCTCATCTTTCATACTTATCTTACCATGGATACTTTGTTGTAGCTTCAAATTTAGTATGACCTAAATTTTATTGACAATACGCTGTAAAATCTTTGAAAAGTGGACAATCTTTATGAACCTAAATCGACATTGATTTTATTTAACGTGTTTCATCAGAAATATATGCTTGTGAATAATCTCATGACCAGTTCAAGAGAAATTCTCAATGAATAGTTCGTTTCTATGTTTTGAATAATTTCACTCCTAAATTTAATTTCATTGCTGTAGTACTAATAATGACCTTTAGGTGGCAGTAACGTTCACAATCTGAGTCACGACTCGTGCAAAGTTAAAGTTAGGTGTAAAGTTTGTGCTCTGCTGGACAAACCTGGTGTAGTTTATAAAAGCATAGCCTCTAACCATACTTTTCTAAAACGTCCTTTGAGGGAGGAAAAAAAAGAGCAAAGCTGATGAAAATGATATCACAAAATTTGACTAAATGAGGCGTATGACGTAAACACGCAAACACGTTTCTGTTTTACGTGGTGACGTTGTGAGTGCTCCGCTATGATGGCAGCCGACGGTTGACAGTGAAGCGGTGTTGAATGTAAAGTGTTGAAAAGTTAGCTGAACCCCCCGATACAACAAACACAGAACATATTAACAGTTCTCAGAGAGTACACGCTTTAAACACACAGCTGCACGGTTAGGGGAACGGTAAGTTGAAGAAGCTTTGCTTGTATGAAAGTGTCGCGCGTGTGTGTGTGCTCTGTATTCGTCTTTTCAGTCATCATGTCTTGCACACAAACACGCTCACACACACTGCCATTAGATTTTGTCGTGCTAGCTGTCGACTTGAAAAGTGAAGGAAAAGTTCAAACACGGCTTCACTCCGCTCCTCCTCCTAGTTTGAAGCAACGCTTCGCCTTCTAACTTGCTAACAGTGAACGGAGTTAGCCTAAATGCTGCTGCAGCCCTGAGCTAATGTTTAAACACTCTGCCAACACATCACTGCTTGTCGTGGGGGCTCTGCGCCTGTTTAAACTGCAAAAACTCTTTGTCATTTAGCAGCCGATGCAATATATTCCAGCTAAAAGACAAAGTGCTCTGGAAGTAAGTGTTCTGTGATCTAAAGCATTTATTTTCTGCACAGTTCTGCCAGTCAGTGCATTGACAGGAACAGGTTTTCTGCAGCTATTTCAACAGGACTTTAATTATGTACAACCATAGTGTTGTTTAAGTTGCCTTATGTCAACAACCTACCCCTCTTTCATGTATGTTGCTTCTTTTTTCCACCTGAGACATTTCAAAGTTAAGGCTAGTATTGAATGGAAAATGTTTTTTGTGCCATTATTTTTGAAATGTTTGCTTGTTTTAAAAAGTTAAAGCATTTGACCGTCTCTAGATTGTTCAAAATGCTTCAGAAAGACTTTAGTTATCATGTCTTTGCTCGTTATTTGTACATTCATATTAAAGTATTGTCACAGTCAAGCTGCTCTCAGTCAGTCCAGATGTTGAAAAAGTGCTGAAATGAGAGAGTTGATTTTAAGATTTATTGTATGGAAAAGGTTGGTTACTTTATTAACAGAATTGCTAGCTTCTATAATTTGTTAGTACATAATTATAATTTCATAAAACAAAGCTTAATGACTTCAACCTTTTAAATAATAAGATAAATAATAATAATAATAATAATAATAAGATAAAAAGTTTTTATCTAAGCAAAAAAGCTTTTAAACACGATATTTTTGCTGAAATTGAAATAAAACGATAATGGGGACAGGAAAATTAGATTAAAACCTCTCAAATGATAAGGTATTTATTCATCTGCTGAGATGCATTGTAACTAAAAGTAAAGAGTACAAAACATTGCTTGTACAAAAAATTCCCAACAAATAACCGCAACTGTGTTCAAATCCAGTAAACTAGTTAATTTACTAACCTTTTGGCAGCCAAAATGGTTAAAATAAATCCTAAAACAAAAAATATCTTCAGGTATTTATGTTACTAAAATATAAATTTCTTAATGAAAAAGCTGTAACTTTTAACTCTATCCTTCAGATAATCTAACCAAAGATAAAAGTATTGTTTTTAAAACTTGCCGAATCTTTGATCCTTTCAAACAGTTGAACCTCGACTGAAATTATTTTTTGTTGTGTTTTATTATGAGTGGACAGTCTTGATTTCTGCACGAAGTGCCTCAAGATTTTTTTTAATTCAGACATTTATTTAGAGTATTTTAAGCTTTAAGTTAAAATACTTAAGTTCTTTATTATTTTATTGTTTTGTTTTTTGTTTTTAATGTTTTTTTTCCTGTTAAGAACTTAGAGGGATTTTTACTTTTGAAAAATGTCCTAAACAGTCTTATTAATCTGATCCCGTGTCTCCTGTGCTGGATGAAGTGGCACTATGCCCGCAGCTACTGTGGATCACAGCCAAAGAATATGTGAGGTTTGGGCCAACAACCTGGAGGAGGAGCTGAAGAGAATCCGACAAGTCATCCGAAAATACAACTACATCGCCATGGTGAGCGCTGCTGACACCCCCCGTCCCCTCGCCAACACACCCAGGTTCCCCAGTGTTCACAGCTCCTCGTCTTTCTGCAGGACACGGAGTTTCCAGGTGTTGTGGCGAGACCAATCGGCGAGTTCAGAAGCAATGCAGACTATCAGTACCAGCTGCTGCGCTGCAACGTGGACCTGCTGAAGATTATACAGCTGGGCCTCACCTTCATGAACGAGCAAGGGGAGTATCCACCTGGAACGTCGACGTGGCAGTTCAACTTCAAGTTCAACCTCACGTAAGATCACAGTCCTGTTGTTTTGAATAGAATTGATTTTACTGTTAGCAAACTATCTCCTGAACTGCTGCAAGCATTTTAACGAGCTTTCAGAACGTAATCATTAGATCTACAGCTAATTAACTTTTGAGGTCAACACAGTTTAACATGGCCGCCACAGCTAATCGAGTTTAGTAAACACACAGAAGTAGCTAACTCAGCTAATTTTACCAAGATTGGGAAAACTAGCTGGTAGTTGATGAGAGTCATCTTCAACACATACTCTGAGCACTAACAGATCACACCACATCTTTATTTCAAACTTTGGCATCCAAGGTGGAGGATGATATGCATTCAAGACTGCTAGTTTCGATCTTTTTGTGGTGTTTTTATGTTTCACAGTAGGTTTTTGATTAAAGCTTCATTTGGGGGGTGGGGGTGGGAGTTATTATGTATAATCAACTTTTCTGAGCTTTATTTCATGTTATATTCCCTCATCAAGAACATACCCAGAGTGTTGCTTTGACTCATTCAGAGAAATCCTTGTATCTCAGCCATGTGGAGCTGCCCAAACACTTGCTGGTACAAAGCCCCGCCTATTTGTACAAAGCTCCTCCCTGGAGCTCAGCCTGCAGCCGAGCTCCCGGCCCACAGAGCTCCCCTCCCCTGAAGCATTGTTTGGAAATGTGCTGAGAATTTTAAAATTTCAAGGCGTTTAGGTAGACTATGATGCAAAGTCAAATTTCAAACAATTTTCATTGTTGTATAAAATTGAACTATGTGCCTGGAAAATACATAATACCACTAAATTAATCATCCCTATTACGGATCGTATCAAGCAGCCCCTAAAATATGTTAAATAATTTTATTTTGTTCGTTCTTTACACTTTCACAATTGTCTTTCCTTTTAAGAACTTTGAATTTCAGATTTAATTTCAGTGTTTTAACAAACCTGTTTTAATCCCAGCTATGATAAAAGAGAAAATGTTTAGGACTCAGTGAGCTGAAGCACACATGGAGATTTACAGTCTGGATTTTCAAACCAGTGAAATCAGATGAAATATTTCAATGAAGATTTTGTACCATAAGACAAGACAAAGAGAAGCCTTACCATGGTCCTCTCTTTTCAGACCTTTCTGTTGCTCTGTATGGACCTTTAGATCTCAGACTTTTCTCACAGACCCCAGCCTGAGCCTAGACTTTGTGACATTTCCTCTTGGATATTATTTAACGTCTTGGTTGTTTGGATCAGAACATTGTGGTTCTTGTCTTTCCATCAGAGAAGATATGTACGCTCAGGACTCCATCGAGCTTCTGACCACTTCAGGGATTCAGTTCAAGAAGCACGAGGACGAAGGCATCGAGACGCTGTACTTCGCAGAGCTGCTGATGACTTCTGGAGTGGTGCTATGCGACGGAGTCAAGTGGCTGTCGTTTCACAGGTATCCTGCTTTTATGCTCCTCAGTAGCGCTGTCAGAGGCCATGGCTCCTGCGTCAACGCTGCTTTCATGTCAGTGAGTAGATAAGCAACTAGTTTTTCTTCCTGCACCTCCTGCTTGACACTGTTTTGAACACATGGAACAAAAGTGTAGCGAGACGGTTTTTAGAACACTGTGTCGGCTCACCCCAAATCACGACTACCATGAAGGAGGTGTCATTACGTGTACATGGGTGTTGAATTGTTTCGTTGGAAGTTAAGACTTTTTAACGTTTTCTGATTCAAGTGAAAGTAGTGATTTAAAAAAAAAAGAAGAATAAAAAACTGGAGAGGTAGCAACAAAGAGGAACAAACTGAAGCCCATCTCAGATGAAATGATCTAAAAGCTATTTCTGATTCCCTCTTGTTCCCTTACAAGCTTCAGTCTCGATTAGTTTTCTCACTCTTTGTAAAAATCATAAATTATATATTTTATTATTATTATTATTATTATTATTATTATTATTGAAATGTGAGTGTGAGCAGAGGAGCGTAATTGTTTTTACATCAAGGCAGGCAGAGGCAGGTCTAGTTGTGATGCATATGAAACTGTTCACTTGTGGGAGAACTGAGCTCACTTCCTGTTTCATTCAACTTTAATTTTTTTTAAACCAACTGCAGCAAAATGCCATGATTTACTTGAATATAAAATAATTACAAAACCTTCAGGTTTAGGCAGTATTTAGTTCAACCCAGTGATAATTCTGTACAAGGAGCTCCAGGTTGATGTCAGTAAGAACAGGGCTGCTTCACTGAGCAGCACTTGGGTCTGTTTCATACACTGTATTTCATGATGACACAATCACATTGTGTTAGAAGTAATTAATAATGTCTTTGAAAGAAAACACTCAAAACTGCTTCAGACACTTTAATGTTACATCCTGCTGAATGTTAAAGTTTGGCCAGCAGATGACACTACACTAATATGTATGAAATGCTTCAGTTGTTCAGAAAGCCTCAGTTTCTTCATCATCAGTATAATCTTTAACATGCTGCTCAATCATTTAATTTATAAGCTGCAGAGACACTCTTTCCTCAGGTTTCTTTGCTCCATGTTCAGTGTGGTACACATCTGATGCCAAACAGCGCTGTGACTACTTTTCACCCTTTACATTGGTAGACTGACTGATTACAAGAGTGAAAACTCCTGTGATGCTGATTACAGCTCACACCTTAGTTTAATGTGTCCCTGTGCTCAAAATAGTTTCAATCTTTTCTCGGGTTACCATTCTGTTTGCCAAGCTTCATTAGTTCACTTGTGTTTTAATCCTGGTGACCAAAAATTCAAAAGCAGTGACTGATTTTAAGTAATTTTCTATTGTTATTGTCAGTTTGAGGTTATTTCAGGGACCATTGTCGGTTTTTCTTTCTGAACAAACCAGCCCAGATGTCTGCACACCAAACATGAGACAAAACTGACCTGTTGTTTAGTTTGTCCTGGCAGAGTAGAAGTAAGAAAATGTTTTGACACCTCTCAATGTGCAGCTAACCTTTGTCAAATAATTTGTGTGTTTTTCAGTGGCTACGACTTTGGGTACCTGATCAAGATTCTGTCCAACGCCAACCTACCTGAGGAGGAGGTGGACTTCTTTGAGATTCTCCGCTTGTACTTCCCAGTTATTTATGATGTGAAGTACCTGATGAAGAGCTGTAAAAACCTGAAGGTGCTTTGATAGACTCTGCAGCCAGAAGCACAGAGGGTCTTTTGAAAGAAACTGTCCCGCTTTGATTTCTTTTGTGGCTGTTTTCACTCTTGAACTGCAGTTGAGTTTTCTTTTATCTTTTTTGCTCCATGGGCAGATCAGACCAGAAAAATTCAGTTTTTGTTTGTTAATATTAGTCGAACTTATTATGAAAAAGAGAAACGCAGAAGTTTTTATTTGTAAGACTGGCTGCAGGTCTACATATGGATTTGCCCCACTGGATACAGCTTTTTTTGTCTTTGAACCGACACACGGAGACTGATCTAATGTCTCTGAAACTGAGCAAACAGTTGTCGAAACAGAAATCCAGTTATTTATGTACTTATCTGCAGAACAGCTGACATTGTACTCTGTATGATGGTGACTTCAGATCTAGTCAGAGTAATTATTATCAAACAGGTTGGTTAGACCATATATCATTATTTAGCACTACCTGCAGGTCCTGGTTGACCCTTCGTGCATCTGTCACACACAAACTTCAGGTTAAAACCTTAAAAAAATCAGAATATAATCACCTGAGAACATTGTTTTTAGTAAAAATAATAATGCATTTTATTTGAATAGCACTTTTCTAAAAAGAGACTTTACAAGAGTCAAGCAAAGTTACAAACAATAGTTAAGTACATCAACAAAATCATAAAAGGAAAACAAATACATAGCACCGAACATTAAAAAAAAAAATAAAAAAGGAGAGAAAAGTAACAGGATAAGCAAGAAACAGGACAAAATGATACATTAAAAGCTGTTCTGAAAAGGTGTGTTTTGAGATGTGGGTGGATCTGTACAGTCACTGGGGAGAGTTCCAGAGTGTGGGAGCAGCTCTGGGTGAGGCCCGTTACCCCAGGTCCAGTGCTTAGTTCTAACTGGAGGAGACAGGAGGTTGGCATCAGAGAAGGGGGCTGCGGGGAGGAGTGTGATGGTGGAGCGGGTTGGTGAGGTAGCATGGGTCTTGGTTATGGAGGGATTTTTGGGTAAGAAGGAGGACTTCAGGTACAGGGGGCCAATGGAGTTTCTGGAGAACTGGGGTGATGTCACAGTAGCAGGTGTGGTTGAGCAGCAGAGTTTTGTATGAGCTGGAGTTTATTGAGGACTTTGGATGATGAACCATAAAGAACACTGTTACAGTAATCGAGTGCAGGTAATGAAGGCATGAATGAGGTTTTCAGCATCTGACAGTGATGGGCGGAGACAAGCAATGTTTTTAAGATAAAAGAAGGCAGTTCTTGTGATGTGATGGTTTACATGGTTTTCAAATTGCTGTTGAAGAGAACTCCAAAGTTGCAGACATGAGTGGGATGGAGACAAGGTGGTGTTGTCAATGGTGAGACTGAAGTTGATGGTGGTTTTGTAATGGGATTTGGGACCGATGATGATGATGAAGTCTGATTCGTCATCATTAAATTTGAGGAAGTTTAAGTGCATCTATGATTTTATCTCGGTGGGGCAACTGGTCAGGGTGGAGTGAGTTGCAGTCGTGATGGATTTGGTGGAGATATAGAGCTGGACATCGTCAGCATAGCAGTGGACGTGAAGACCGTGGATGATGGTGGAGCATGTAGAGGGCCAAGCACCGAAACCTGGGGGACACCTTGTAATAAAGGATTTGTGGAGGAGGTATAGTTATTGATGCTGATGAATTGTTGCCTGTTTGTGAGATACGACTGTAACCAGGAGAGGGTGGTGCCAGTGAAGTTGAGGGAGGATTCAAGGCGGAAGAGAGCAATGGTGTGGTTTATGGTATCGAAGGCTGTGGTGAGGTCTAAGAAGAGGAGAATGCTGAGATGACCAGAATCTGAGAAAAGGAGGAGACCATTGGTAAATTTGAGGAGAGCTGTTTCTGTGCTGTGACCTGAACAGAAGCCGGACTGAAATGGTTCATACAAGTCATTGGAAGTGAGATGGGTTTTGAGTTGATTGTCAGTAGCAGGTTCCAGTATATTAGACAGAAAGGGGAGGTTGGATAGTGTCAGAGTTTAGTCCAGGTTGTTTGAGGATGGGGTCACAGCAGCCAGTTTGAGAGTTTGGGGGACTGGAGCAGTGCAAAGGGAAGAGCTGATGGTGATAGTGAAAAGTGGGGAAATGACAGAAAGCAGTCCTTAACGAGCTTGGATGGGATGGGGGTCCAGAGCACAAGTGGAGCTTTGCATGCACTGCAATGAGTTTGGACAACTTCCACTGGGGTCATGGGAGAGAACTGAGATAGAGGCAGAGTGCTGCAAAGTGAGGAAGTTGAGGCTATGTGGTGGTAGTCAGATTACTGTAAATGGTGTCTATTTTGTTTTGGAAAAATGACAGAAAGGCATTGCACTTATGTACTGTGAAGGAGTTGGAGATATTATCACTGGGTTTAAGGAGTTTATCTACTGTGGAGAAAAGAGCCTTGGAGTTAGATGAGCCAGAATGTATGAGGTTTAAGACGTAGGTGGATCGAGTTGAGTTAGGAATATCTTTCTATTAGAGAAGGTAGTTGTTTTATACTTGGAGATGGACAGTTAAACTAGTTTTCTGGGATACTCTTTGCAGCTGTCGCTTACGGGACTGCATTTGGTGGAGTTCGGTGGTGTACCAGGGACCAGAATGTCTGCAAGTGACTGTTTTGGTTTTGATGGGAGCCAGTTAATCGACATGAGGAGAGTGTGTGGTTATGAGTTAAAAGGTCAGAGGGGTTTATGCTCAGAATTTAAAGCAATTAATGCTGTTTCACATTAGTTTTCCTGACAACCTAAATGTCACTCTCTTTGCTTGCGGAGGGGGAATTCCACCTTTGTCCAGTTGAGAACTAGAACCTCAGACTCATCCTGGCTGCTTCACACTCGTTTCAACATCTTGACTTTGCTCTGAGTGGTGTTTAAAAACATCTAATACGTTTCTCTCAGGTTTTCCTTCGACTTGAAGTGTTGTTAATGGTGGTGTTGGTGGTTTTTATTCTTCAGGGCGGACTGCAGGAAGTAGCTGAGCAACTGGAACTGGAGAGGATTGGACCACAGCACCAGGCCGGCTCAGACTCTTTACTCACAGGCATGGCGTTCTTCAAAATGAGAGAGGTACAAGCAGCTGTGTGGAAGAAGATTAGTCATACTGAGTGCTACATTTAATTTAATAACTTTGTCTTTTTTTGTAATGCGTTTATTGTTTTATAAGATATTTCATTTAGATTTATTTAATTTTGCAAAGCAGTGTTTTTTAGACATTTATGACTCAAAGTTTTTAATCTGTATTCTGTCTTCTGAAATGTGCATTTTTCTCAAGTCAACTCGAAGCTCTGGATTTTATCCAACAAATTATTAAAATCCTTTCTTGATTGTCGTCTCATGACGTCATCAGCTTCTGCATGGATGACAAGTGTTTTTAGTTCTGGATATTCAGCTGTGATCTCCAGTATCTTCTATGTGAGATCAGACACCATATTATCAGCAAAGCTAAAAAGTTTGGCCTTTTTCTTGTTTCAAAACTGTTGAATCTCACCCACAGCTCTGTCAGCTAAAACCAACATTTCTTGGTTCATGGAAATCTCTCTCCACTCTCGCTTTAGATTTGGGCTGAATCTGGTCTCAGCTTTCTCGCTGGGGTCAGAAAGGGACCTTTGCGCTGACTCACAAACTTCTTCCAGTGGTGTGAATCTGTTTTGCAGAAATATTCCTGTCTCTTCTGGTGGCTCGCTGTTATCTCTCGTTTTGAGAACAGTCTGCTGTTGTCTTCTCCTTAACACCGGGTTAGAAAATGATGGATTTGGATGAACTGGAGTTTTTGAAGATTTTTATTTGAAATACCAAAAAGAATAGAATTGAAATAGTCCAGTCTTGAAGATATAAAGGCTGGACAAGGTTTTCAGCCTCCAGTTGAGAAAGTAATGGGATGAGACTGGCAATGCTTCTTAGATGGAAAAAATGAGGTTTTGCACAGATGTTTCACCTGAGTGTTAAATAAAAGGCGAGGATCAAAACGGACAGTGGAAAGTAACATAAGTAGTAGAATGTGCGATGTCCTGTCCAGAAAAAGTTATGACTGTGAGGTGGGATGACTGAACCTGATGAGTGCCAATCAGCATCGCCTCAGTTTTGGAGCTATTCAGTTGAAGATAGTTATTGTTCATTCATAAGACGCTGAATCTTAACTTCCAACACCGCTACCTTCTGGAGAAGTTGGCAGAAATCCTCTGGAAAAAAAGGGAGGCATCTTGAAAGCTTGGCTGTCCTTTGTCTCAGCAAAGTCCTCTCAGCTTGTTCAACAGCAGTGAAAAATAAAAATGAAGTGGTCCTCTGCAATCCAAATCAACCAGTCATGTCACAGGGTCATGCGCCTGCTTGCACTAAAAGTCTCTTCTCTCCTTTTCTAATGTCTTATGTGTATCTCTAGACAGTAATATAACACCCTAGTCTTACCTTTTACTTTATCCTAAACAAACTTTATTTCCACGTCCATTGTATAACTATAACTTGAATTTGTTTCAGTAAATGGGTAAAAGAAACAAACTTTGTCAGTGTCCAAGTAGATATGGACCTAACTGTAGTCAGATGTAATAATATCCACTGTACAACAAAAATAAACATGGTCTTTGATGTTTTCCCCCCAGATGTTCTTCGAGGATCACATCGATGATGCGAAATACTGCGGTCATTTGTACGGGCTCGGCTCGGGCTCCGCCTATGTTCAGAACGGGACGGGAAACGCCTACGAGGACGAGGCTAGCAAGCAGCAGTCGTGACATCGCTCTGAAACTCTGCCATCCTCCCACACACACACACAGAGTCGGCGCGGTGCCGAGGCAAGGCTGGACGTCGACAACGATCAGAGGAACAACATTCATATGCATCATTTAGCAAGCTGTTCTCATAGGCTCTACTCACCTTTAACATGTGAACGTTACGGTGAAACGACTCACAGCTGTCCTCATCCGTGCCGCAGCTGCATGTTTGTGAGTTTAGTCTTTTATTCCTGCGGGGCGGCACAGACAGCGTGGTCGGTTCAGCTAACATGTTGGGGATAGATGGGGTTTTAGTTTTCCTGAAGTGTTCTGTGGACATGTTTTGCACTTTAAAGTTGATTTTATATGGAAAGCTGGACACGTTTCTGATGTGTGTATGTATGTGTGTGTTTCTCCTGTTTGTTGCCTTTTGTGTTCCAGTTTTACATTTTGAAAGTCTTTCAGCTCTCACCACGCTCAGCCTTAACGTTACCCGCATTCTTCCCTTTTAAACTTTTAATTTATTGAGTAGTTGGACACTAAAATGTCCTGATTTCCTGGTGACTAACGGAGCTCACCGAGTGTGTTTACCTGCACTTGAATCTTTTTTTTTTGTTTGTTTGTTATTGTTGTTCATATGAAGAGATTGTTGCTCTGATTTCACTGTGAAACTTCAGACTTGTACAGCTTTCTTTAGAATAAGATGTTAAAAACAAAATGAACAGCAGTTTTTATTACTGTTTTGTTTTCGTCTTAATTCTTGGACAACAGAAAATTCACATGCCAGAATATTAGTATGTATAAAGATGCATACAGACAGTTTTCATTAGAGGAATGTGTGTTATTTGTGTGTGTGTAAACACTCTCACTTAATCAGCTCTATAGAACTAACTGATGCAACAAAACCTTTAAAAAAAACTTTACGGTGAATAAAGAGTTTTCAGCTGTAGGACACTTTAAACTACTCTGTTCAGAGTAAATTTTTATTTTGTTTTAGTTTAATTAAAATAAATAAAATGTACCTCTTGGAACTATAAACCACATTTCATTTCACTTTAGACACTTTTTTCCCCCTCGCCGTACACTCACGCTGCGTCAACAAGCTGCATGTCCTAAATATTTGAATAAATGCTGTTTGTGAAGTCCTGATCTCAGATAGGTGTGTTGGAGTGTAGGGTGTGTATTAACCTGTTGTCTGCATAACAAAACTGACATGTTTTCTCTCTGCAGTTCGTCTGCCACACTGTAAAAGAAAAGATATGCAATCTACAAAAAGAATGTTTTTAGATTTTTTTTTCCTTTTTGTAAATAAAGGCTTGAGATTTTTCTACTGTTCCAATGCTCCAGGCTGTGCCGTGTTTTTACTGATTCCTTACAGAGGAGACATGAGACAAGATGAGCTCATTTTATTCTCAGAAGGCATCACACATCCAGATCAAACAGACAGATAGAAAAATATACGTCACCCATGAAGGTTTGTACAGACATTCTTTTACCAAGTAGTACAGCTTCAACATAGAAGTCAGAAAAAAAAAGGAGCAGCAGCACCTGCTTTCTAATGGCGAGCAGATCTGCAGCTGCAAACTACGGAGGCTTGTGTTTTTTGCAGGCAGCCGGTGTGCAAAGACCTCCAGGGAGAAACAGGAAGCTTCTCAGCAGATTGATGTAGACCACAGGTCACCACACAGCAGTTTATGCAACTGGCAGAAGGGGGTGTTTCACTCAGTAACATCACTCATGCTATCAGAAGAGCCCTTATAGAAGAATTACTAATGACTACGTGTTTTTCCTTTACTCATCGTTACAAGGTGTGTTTGTGTTGACGTCCTGAGATGAGAAGAGCATGCATCTCCTGAACTTCCACAATACTTTGCATGATGCATGGAGAAAAAAAAGATTATATA